GATGGATGGATGGATGGATGGATGGATGGATGGATAGGTGGGTGGGTGGATGGATGCATGGATGGATGGATGGAAAGTCCATTCACTTGTCTACTCTTTGGATTTAGCTTCCAAACCCACCACGCCCATGATGATATTCCCTTGTATTAATCATGACTTTTTATTTTCTGCATATTCTATGTTGTGACATCTGGGACTCTGCTGATACTAAAGATGCTGCTGCTCGCAGAGCTGGCTGATTCCTAGCGATAGCACACAACTCACAAGGAACATGCTTTTCATATGAAAACCAAACAATCCAGAGCCTACTCTGTTCCCTTCCTCTATCAGGTTATTACACTTCGAGACAATGTTTCCTGCCCTGATTACCTCAGGGCCAGGCCAGGAAACTAGGGACAGCCCTATGCTCAGAGCCTGCTGAAATTACTCAAACTACCAATCCTAAACCTGCTGATCCTGCCTCTCCCATTCCTTCCTGTGAAAACCACAGGAAAGGTTCTTGTCCATGTTTCCTCTCTCTCCTTTTGCCACTTGATGGGCCCTGGGGCTTCCCATGGGGCCCTGCATGGTGTGGCACCCCCTTCCTCTTGAGAACTGTAAGTAACAAACTATTTTTTTTTGAGACGGAGTCTCGCTCTGTCGTCCAGGCTGGAGTAGAGTGGCGCCATCTCGGCTCACTGCAAGCTCCACCTCCCGGGTTCACGCCATTCTCCTGCCTCAGTCTCCTGAGTAGCTGGGACTACAGGTGCCCGCCACCACACCTAGCCAGTTTTTTGTATTTTCAGTAGAGACGGGGTTTCACTGTGTTAGCCAGGATGGTCTCGATCTCCTGACCTCGTGATCCTCCTGCCTCAGCCACCCGAAGTGCTGGGACTACAGGCATGAGCCACCGCACCTGGCCACAAACTTTTTTTTTTTTAATGGAAGTTGTCTCCTGATCTGTGGGCCTCACCATACCTGAATTATAATAAAACCCACATTTTAAAATATCCCTGCTCCCAAATTCTTACAGAGCTTGGATCACTCACTTCCCAGCTGCAACCTTAACTGCTACTCCGTGAATCTAACCTCATCAATTCTAGGAACAAAATCTAGGTCTTCTCCCACTTTGCACCTGCCCCCTGGACTCCTAGAGTTGCTGTTCACAGTACTGATCAGGCTGTTAATGTGAGTGACATCACCAGACAGAATTCACAGGACAGAACCATGACAGCCTAGGTGAAGGTACTCAGGAATCAGTGTGGGACCCAGCTCTGCAGTGTGCCGGCCAAAGCCGCCTTCTGGACATCCATCCTTGATTGGATGGGTCACCATGGCTATATTGGTGGAATTCTAATCTGGAATGAAGCCCATACATGGTGCTGTTCTGGCGCTGAGCCACTGTGAAAGGATTTCATCCAGGCCAGCATTTTCTATGCCTAAGTTCAGGTATCCACGGGACTTCCCTGGCTACATAATGAGCAGCAGATGCACACACGCTTGGCCAGGGTTCAGCCATCTTGGCATTTAAATGGTCGATTAAGGTGCTGCATCTGATTGACCCCTGGGAAGAAAAGAGGTGCTATGCCGCATGGTGCCATCAGGCATGAAGGAACCTCCCTGAGTCCACAGGTTGTTGGTTGTCGGATCTCTGCTTCACAGCTCCATGTATTTTGGGCTTCCTCTTTGCTCTGCACTGTGCACGCTTCATCCCTTACTCTGACTCAGCCAACCCAGGAGACGGGCACTATCATTATGGTGTGCACACCAGAAGGGTCTGCAGACCCACTTTTGTATGGGGATGTCTCCTCCCTTACCACTGATCCACGTGGTAAGGGCACTGGGACCCTGGCAGCCAACAACGTGGTCAATGGATCAGGGTTGCACCTGAATCCATTCCTTGGAAATTCAGAACGGGACTATGATTCTGGCCTCCAACTGACTGGTCCTTTGAATCAAAGGGGTGGTGTGGAGGCCATTAGCTGCTACATGGACTGGACAGCAAAGACCAGTGAGGAAGTAAGAAAGAGCAAGACACAGAGATGAGAGATGAGGAGAGAAAAAGAGAAAGAAGGTGAGAGAGAGAAAGCATGCAAAAGAGAGACCTGTTCTGGCCAGTTCCTGGGGCCTCACTATACCCTAACCCTTGGGTTTATGCAACTCTGCTACTCTTAAAGTAAATCCAACTTTTCAGCGGTGCTCTTACGTGTTTCTGTTGGTTACAATTAAAAGCATCCCAACTAATCTCTTCAACAAGCAAACTGCAAGTGAAAAAACAAAAAAAGAGAAAAGAGGGGAAAAGAAACTTGTCAAGAGAGGCTTAAGAGACACACCAGCTCATTGCAATGTATGGGCTTTGATTTGGACAATTTAAAAAAATATTTTAAAAAATCACTGTATTCTGAAAGTTTGAAAACATAACTAAAATTCTTAAGAAAATACAAAATGACAAAATTAGGGCAAGGAGAATTGGGAAATTTTAAATAAATCAATGAATGTTAAAAACAGCAACATAGAGTCCTTGGCTCAAATATTTCTGATCCCCATCTTGCAGCTGTGCTAACCAAGGCAGAGAGAAGTTAGGTTACCCATCGAAGAAATGACAGAGCCAGGTTTGAACCCCAGACCTGGCCCCAAAGTTCACATCCCTAACCATTACACAGTACTGTCTGCTGACCTCATCCCTGACCAGGACACCAGATGTCACTCATAGCACGTCCCAGTAAACCAGGAGGAAATCATTAGCAGAAGTATTCCATGTCCTTCCAAATTACATCACCACCCCCTGCAATGCTGCCTGCCACCTTGGAGGGTTCCTCTGCAGACCGATGCGTGCTTTTGGTGGTTATTTGCAATTTCAAATATTTCAGTCCGTTCTTCCCTTCTGCAAGGGAAGAATCCTGTCTTCAAAGTCTAAATGCCATAAAAGGGCTTCCCTGCATAAACAAGCCTGCAGTGGGGGGAACTGGAATAGGAAACAACTTCTTTTTATCATAAGCTTGCCTGTATATTTTTTCTACCACAGGTATATATTTGATAAAAACGTTATATTTTATTTACAAAAAATTACTGTGTACCCTGTACACAGTGCAGCATTTCTGATCTTCTTTCTTCAATACCAATTGGGGGAAATATTTACAAATGCTATATTTGACAAAGACATTTTCTTTGTACAAAACAAATGGGTATCTACGGTAGAACAAAACTGAAAATTACAACAGAAAAAAAAAGCCACATGGATTAAATTATTCTACGACAAATGATTTCCTTTCATTCTTCCTTCTATGTTGGTTGAATTTTTGATGGCTTAACACTATTTTGACCACACTGTGTGTGCACCAGTGTGGTACGCTGCATAGTGGACATGGCTGGCTGCCTGCCCAATATCTTTTCTTGCCTCTCCTGAATGGTAGCTGTTGTCACTGCTATTTATCTTGCTTCCTCTTCATCACTGCATGTTGGGCAGATAGCATGTCTTTTAGTTTATTAGCACAAGGAACCAGACACATTCAAACCTGGTGGGAAACTGGCATAGTCCTGCCCAATCCTGGACTTTGCACCCCAGCTGCAATGACACAATGAAACTTTGTAGCCCTCTCCCTTGGGAAGAAGGTGAGCCACCTCTGTGTATTGGAAAAGGGTATGTACAAATATCTCGGGAAGCTAATGGGGTGGATGGAGACAGATGCTGCTGGTTGCCTCCCCAATATCCATTTTCCCCTTCTTTCTAACTAACAGAATCCCAATTTCTTTTTTTTTTTTTTTTTTTTTTGAGACAGAGTCTCCCTCTGTCACCCAGGCTGGAGTGTAGTGGTGCAATCTTGGCTCACTGCATCCTCCGCCTTCTGGATTCAAGCGATTCTCCTGCCTCAGCCTCCTGAGTAGCTAGGACTACAGGCTCATGCCATCAGGCCCAGCTAATTTGTTTTTGCATTTTTAGTAAAGACAGGGTTTCACTGTGTGAGCCAGGATGGTCTTGATCTCCTGACTTCGTGATCTGCCCACCCAGAATCCCAGTTTCAAGTTTGCAATCTTTCTGGTTTAAAAACAAGCATTTCCCAGCCTTCTTGCAGTCAGAGGTAGCCATGTAACAAAGTTTGGCCAAGGAAGGGGGAGTGGAACTCAGGGAGTGGGGGTTCCAGGAATGCTTTTCAAAAAGGGGCAGACAACGCTGGTGTGTGTCCCTGTTCCCATTCCTTTAATCTTCTGCCTTCCTGAAACAAAGGTGCAAAGCTGGACTACACAACTGCCACTGCTAAGAATGACTGAGCAGTGAACAGAAGTAGCTGGTTCCTGAATGGCCCTACTGGGCCCCAGAACTGGGTCAGGCTGTCTGTCTCTGGGCTTATTTATATATGATCAATAAATCCTTTTTGATGAAGCCATTGTAAGTCAAGTTTTTGTTACTTGCAGCTGAACACAATCCTAACAGATAAAATAGACATCCTTGTATTATTACAAACCCATCATGTGTGACGGTAAACAGAATGTTTACTCAACCATATCCCAATTGTTGGCTATTTCAGCCAGTTCCAATGGTTTTTTCCTGCTGCTATACATACTTCAGTAATAAGCATTTTATGCATAAATGCCCGAGGGTACTTGCAATTCTATAGCACTTTACAATCTGCAAAACTCTTCCAACTCCATTCTCTCATGAAGCAAGAGGAAAACAATTCAAAAGAAGATGGCTCTGCAGACAAATCACAGGCAACAGGCTCTCCGGGATGTGTTCGTCCCTCTGTTATGTTGCCCCACATCTAACTTCTGCATAAAAAGCCATGCAGTGTTAATAAATATTGGCTGCTGAGCCAAAAGCAAGAAATGCAAAACAATGACACATCCTGAAGAGCTACAGAGCGTGTCATCCAGGTTCTAAAACCCTGCAGATTAACTCTATTGGAGGTCACCCGGTTAAGTCAGGAAGCCTGTCTCTTACTTCAGGTACAAAGAATGAACGAATGCAGGTGACTAAGGCATAGACAAGGGCCCATGAATACTGTATATTGCTTGGGGACTCTGAAAAACATAGGGGGACTGGCCCAAAGCCTCAAGATGACAAGCTACATGTTTGCATGTGGGACCTCGGAGGGGAGGGGAATGGAAAGGATCAGCCCTAGAAAAGGTGGCAAGGACTAGGAGATCTTGCAAAGGTATTAGGAGAGGGCTGGTTCTTAACGACAGTACAGGAAATCTGCTCCAGGGACCACCTGGAGCCAAACATCACCTCCTCTAACCTCTGGATTTCCTGAGTGCTCTTTTTATTTCCCATGTGGTATGGAACATGCATTTGGCGTCTGCACTCAATGATCTCATGTGTGTGTGTAATGGGGGGTGGGTGTCGCAGGGCCAAAGGCAACGTCCATCTTCTTGGTTCTTAGACGATGATGATAAAACCACCAGCCACCATCCTGCATTCTGAGAAAGCTTTGTGCCTCTGCATGTGATATTCGTTTTGTGGATGGGAGCCAATCATTCTGGCTGTGAATCGAATCCCATATTCTCATCGGCCAACCCTATAAAATCAGAGATGCAGTAAAAGGGACTCGTCTCCTAGTCAAGTGGTCTTTGCACTCTTTAAAACACATTTGTTCCCTACTTGTCTGATTCTGAATGTCTTCAATTGTATAAATACAATTATTTTGTTACAGAACAAGGAGAACCTAGCATCTGAAACAAAAAGGTCATTGTATACCCTTGAGTGTGAAAACTAGGAACCTGTATTTATTGAGTTCTGTGCATGGCTCTGGGCACTTGAGAGATAGGTATTATTATCTCTGTTTTATAGAGGAGGAAACTGAGGCTCAGAAATGGAAAGGAATTTTATGCTCAGGGTCACACACACAACAATGATATTCTAAATGTCTTAAAAGATTGGCTCGAATTCTGGGAGCAGGCAGGGTCACAGGGAGAACTGTGGGGTGAACAGCCCTTCTTCCCATCGTTCAACTGTCTCTTTTGTAGGAGTGCCGGAGCTCCTCAAAGCCTAGTAGTTTTCTGAGACACATTCCCTTCCTTCTACTTATTCTCATAGCTCCAGGCACAGATTCTAAACTTTGGTCCAAGGACCCGAGCCAGGCCTGGGGTCTCTATGCGGAGATGAGTTTTCTGCCCTCGGCCCCCATGGAGGAGATGGATTAGCGAGGCAAAGCCCAACTTGATTGAAAAATAACTTCCCTGCAGACCACTTTATGGCTCTGCGCCTCTTCCTTCCAGTCCTGCTGGGTCTGGGCCCAAGACCGTGGACTCGGGGTGGTCCTTCCTTCTCCAACAGGCCGGAAATTACCAAAGGAGCACCAGGGGGTGCCGGGTGTGCCAACTGAAGTCAGGCAACAACTAATTAATGTTTTAAAAGTTAAAAAACCCAAGCAGCCAGGGGTCAAGTGCAGGCCCTCCGAACCAGGCTGCCTGGCCTCGACCACTTACCAGCTCTGAGAGGGTGGGCAAGTTGCTCCCCCTCACTGTCCCCATACAGAAAGCGGGGATAAGGAGAGCCCACAGCATTGCAGGGTTGCCTTGAAGATAAAATGAGAGCTGGTATTTACAAAGTGCTTGGAATCTGACACATGGCAGTGAACAGAGATAGGACGGTGCCAGCCCTGCAGCCGAATGATCACCTTGAACGTTCACTCATTAGTCCAAGCAGGTCTTACTGCTTACGAGTAGCTGAGAGATATCTGGTCTGTGCCCTTGGCTTCTGGGGGGCCATTTATGTCATATCTGAGAAGAGTTCTGACTACAAAGGACCTTAGTGTGGGAATGGCTACACCCAACAGGCTTAGGGTGGGAACCGGCCGCCAGTCCAGAAAGACCTGCCCTGTGATTTAGGGTGGACGTTTTAAGGTCGCACAGTCTCAGGAGTCCTGGAGACTGAGTTCAACCACCCACGCAATCAATCAATCATCAGTCATGCCTCTGCAATGAAGCTCCAGTGGAAACCCAAGGGTTCCTCCCCAGTTGGCAATATTCAGTGAGTGCTGTCACGTGCGATGCCAGGAGGGTAACGCATCCTGCCCCCATGGGGAGGACACAAAGGGAGCTTTGCATCGGGAACCCTCCCAGTCTCGCCCTATGCATCTTTTGCTTACATTAATTTTAATCTGAATCCGTGCCCTGGAATAAGCCGTAACTGTGAAGTATAACAGCGTTCAGTGAGTTCACTGAGTACTTCTGATGGAATGATCGAACCTGAGGGTGATTTTAGGAACCCCCTGAACTTGCAGTTGGTGCCAGAAACAAGAGTGGTCTTGTATGGACCTTGGCAGTTTGGCAAACTCCAGGCAACTTCCCCTCCAAAAACCCTCCTGAGCTCCATGCCCACTGTGGCCCCTGACCACCCACATTGGAAAGGACAAAGGGATTGAGGAAGGAAGCTTGCGCCTGCACGAAGTGGAGTGCTTTCTATAAATTAGCTCATAGATGCCTCGGTTTACACAACTGTAAAATGGGACTCAAAGCTCTTACCCTTCCAGGTTGTGACTTGCCCAAGATCTCACAGTCAGGGAGCAAGAGTACAGAGTTTCACTCCACGGCCCAAGCACTGTGCACGGTCCACATAACCTGCCAGGGGCTAAGGTCAGCTTGGTGGTGAGACATTCCCCCCTCAGGAAGGATGGCTCATTCACACAGGAAATCACATTTTATACATCTTTAGCATCACAATTACGTATATGGATCAAGTCTCGCATGCAGGGAGACGGAGGACAATGTCACCTAACACGGCCCAGTCATGTCATAAGAATGACCTGGGGGGCTCATTAACACAGTTTTTTAGGCCCAGGCCCTGACTGACAAGATCCAAAGGCCAACTGGAGAAGCCTGGGAATCTGTATGTTTAACAGCTCACTGTGGGCCATTTCTACCCACGGGCAGATCTGAGAACCCCTGTCAAGATGGAAAGGGCCTGGGGTCCCCTCCTAGCAGCAGCACTGTTGTGAGAGTCTCAGAGTCTCAGGTCTGGACCTTTGTCCCCATCTACGCAATGGGGGTCATGATCCCAGTTGTCCTTTCTCACCCATGGTGCCGCTGTGAGGATGATGTGCTTGGGGCAGACCCAGCCCCACCCGTGACACAGGAGCCAAGGCCACCCTGCAAGATCAGCAGTGTACAGCACTCACTAGGCAGCGGGCACAGCCAGTTCTGCTAGGACACTTGGTAGAAAACGCAAATTGCAGCCCAGTGCGGTGGCTCACGCCTGTAATCCCAGCACTTTGGGAGGCCGAGACGGGTGGATCACGAGGTCAGGAGATCGAGACCATCCTGGCTAACACGGTGAA